TATATATATATGTATATATATATATGAATACTAAAATATATATAGCGTTCCTACTTTGTGGTTTTTCACTTATCGTGGTGGTGTGTGGAACGTAACCCTCGCGATAATCAAGGGACTACTGTAACTGAAAGTACCGTAATAGTAATTATGTGCATAGTAAGCCAGATGTCATCATTTTCCAAAAAAAATAAATAAAAAAAATCTGTCCAGAACACAGATACATTACTTTGGAAAACTGTTTGTAGGAATCAGTTTTTCTTAAGCACGGTTTGTGTGCATACAAAGGCATACAAAACATTTTTTTTTTAGCAAAATATCTGCATTAAGAGTGGACAGAGACTTAAACCATCACCAAAGCTGCCATCAGAAATGAGCAGCGCTTGACAAACATAGTATATCTGACTGCGTAGGCTTACCAGAAGTGAAGCGATCAACCACCACACTGAGATATGATTAGTGCGATAAAGGGACCTCTGTCTTGACAAAATAAACAAGATGAGATAAACCGTCTCCACTTCAACCCAGTTTATAAAACAAAAGCTGAAAACTCTCATGACCTGGGGCCTTATGGTTCGGTTGGGTAAGGGTGATGGCACCCCCACCCCCCAGATCCCGTGATCAACCATCTCAATGAGATATGATTAGTGTGATAAAGGGACTGCTGTTTTGACTGAATAAATTGATGAAATAAACTGTCTCTACTTCACCCCAGACAAAACAAAAGCAGCAAACTCTCATGACCTGGGGCCTTATGGTTGGGTAAAGCCTCCAGTAAACTCGGGTGTACTTCAGTCCACAGAGGTCTGCGCGTACCGGATTAGAGTCGAAGTGGACGCCCGCAGGGCATGTCCGTGCAAAGATCAATTTTTACGGCCACGTACGCGTACTTGGGTGTCGCACAATAAACTGCCTGGCGACGGACTGTTTTGCATGCGACACCAACGTATTAAATTCCCCTTCTTCATCCCTGGTCTGGTTTAATGGTCTTTCCTTTTTTCTTTTTTCAAGAGGCAAGCGATCTCTTCCTCCTCGTTTGTTGACGCCATGACTGAAATTGTGAGAAATAAAGGAATTTGTCACGAGCTAATTAAAATAAGGTTCAACGTGGCTGCGGGAGGGTCTGGAGATTTCCTGGTGGGTTGGCCTGACGTGTGGGCTGCAGGGCCAGCGCTCCCTGTTTTTTTACAACTTATTAACAACATATAAATACAGAACACCGCTGCGGCTTACTGCCAACTCTCGTTTTATTTTTTATGACCTGTCAATCAATCCAGTAGGCGTGTCAGCAAATGCCCAGTTGGCAACCTCAATTTGTCCCGAAGGTAAACGCCCCTTGCCTGCGGAGCTGACTGCAGCCCATCAGGGTGGACGCTCGAGTATGAAGTCTCAACCCTCTGCGGACAGTGTAGTTTCCACGCGGACTGAGGACCATCGTCTGTGCGAGCCTCAAGGATGATAAGGATGATGACTTCATATAACTACTGACCCCCCTACCCCCTATCCCTCCCTGTGTAATCACCCACCTCACTGAGATATGATTAGTGCGATAAGGGACCGCTATGTTGACTAAATAAATTGATGAGATAAACCATCCCCACTTCATCCCAGTTTGTAAAACAAACGTAGCAAACTCTCATGACCTGGTGCCTTATGGTTTGGTTGGGTAAATTTGATGGCTTCACAAATCCCAAAACTACCCCCCCCCCCCCCCCGTGACCAACCATCCCACTGAGACATGATTAGTGTGATAAACCTGTTTTGACTAAACAAATCAATGAGATAAACCGCCCCATTTCAACCCAGTTTGTAAAACAAAAGCAGCAAACTCTCATGACCTGGGGCCTTATGGTTCAGTTGGGCAAGGTTGATGACAAACGCCCCCCACCCCGCGATCACCCACCTCTCTCACTGAGATATGATTAGTGTGATAAAGGGACCTCTGTCTTAACAAAATAAACGTGACCAGATAAACCATCCCCACTTCACCCCAGTTTGTAAAACAAACGTAGCAAACTCTCATGACCTGGTGCCTTATGGTTCGGTTGGGTAAGTTTGATGGCTTCGCAAAACTGCCGACACCCCACCCTCCCCTTCCTACAGCTTTCTAACAGTGCATAACTTTCTGACTATCAGCTCTACATTCCACATTCTTCTTCTTCGAGAACAACAACCCTGCCCCGAGGTGCTTGTATCCACTGAGCAAACCAAACTGTCCGCAAACAGGCAGCGCGGCGCGCTCTGCAGCCGCAACCTCCAAGTCCAACATGTCAGCAGAACGTACAGCCTTCTTACTGCGGAGTGCCGTCCACGCATGCCACAGTAACCCATCGAACACAGGATGCTGAGTGTGTGTCGAGAAGGGGAAGGGACAAGAAGGGTGAGGCAACCAACCCGATCATGAGGATCATATGAGGAGCACTGGCCTCGAATTACCCCGCAGGCCACAATCTGTTGTCCATACAGTAATCAATGAAACATGTCACACTGATCAGATGACTTAGTCATCTTAATGACCTGTATTAATTTGTTTGACCCGTCACTATTTAGGTCACATACTTGTACGACAACAATAAAACGATAAAAGCTTGGCAGTAAAATAAAGCAGAGAACTAAGGCGACCTCACATAGATCACTAACAATTTCTGCGTAGGTTTAAGTGCAGAGTAAAATGAAAGGATCGAGTTGATCCAAGAAAACTTCTACAGGTCTTTTTTTAAAAAAGTGTTTTTCCCCCATCAGGAGAGTTTAAAAACAGCAGGCAGAGCGACTGAACACTTCTCTCTGGGTGTGACTCGCCAAAATAACATCTAGTAATCTTCATATTAAAGGCTTTGGCACCCTGTGACTCAGACAAGCTGTGGAAAAAAAACAAGACGGATTTTATTTATACATTACCTCAATCACAAACAAGAGCTTAAAAAACAGGTCGAGGCTATCCAAGCTCATTTATCCTGCCTAACAGGAACCAAACTGTTATTTCAAAACTACTTTCTTGACTAACCTACATGTTATTTGGCAAACAATGACTTCTTGTTTTCTTCGCCGAAACAAATAATTCCACTGGCGGACTGTTTTATAGCAAAACAACTATTTTAAGATCACGGATGACCTAAGTAGTGTGTTACTTTATTTAAATGGTGGTTAAAGAAGAGCAAAGGAATAACTGGTGACTGGAAACCAGCAGCCAGTCCAGACAACCCAACATTACAGGCATTCCTGTGCCCCATTATCTCCATGCCTCTTGATTCTTAACCAACTGATCACCTGGGGATTGAAGCCGCTTCACACCTGAGCACAATGAGCTTACAGGAGCTCTATATTCAAATGTGCAACCAACAGTTCTCATGAAGAGCCCTGCAGTTTCAGGTCACTGGAACGTCACACCCACAGCAGTTCATGTGAAAGCAACACAGAAGCCCCCCCAGCATCGATTCAACCCATCCAGAAATGACGTCTGAAGACCTGGACCCGCATCGTGCGGGGTGTGCACACCCGGCCAATCCTGTTAAATCACTTTAATTGGCCCTACCTAAGACCACGGAGGCTTAACCTACATATAAACAATGCGGGTTACACCAAGTCATTGAGCAGCCGTGGGATCTTTTATTTTTTTGTGTGGGGGGTGGTTGCGCAAAACGCGATGCGTAAAATCCGCTTCTTTTACCAAAATGTGCTCCGTGTGCGTTTCACGGCAGCAAATGAATTCTTCTTCTCGTTTTTTTTTTTGGTTGTTGCTCCAAATGTTGGCTTTTAAAAGGGGGTTTCAGTTGTTTGGGGCTCGTGCGTCGCATCTCTTCAAGCCAAAATAAACGCGGCGCTTTTCGCAAACGCTCTGCTTTGCGCTTTTATTTTTACCTCAGCTTCAACGCACCACCACCACTCCAGACATGTTTCCCAGCTCGCCCAGCAGCCCTGGTAAAGCCAGAAAAGGCACCAGCAGCAACGGAGAGCCTTTTTTTTTTTTTTTTTGATGGCACGCCGTGGAGACGGAAAAAAAAAAAAAACGCGATTCCTTCTGCAGCTAAAGGAGAGATCCGATCAAACGGGCACGAAAGCGGCTCCGCTGCCTGTTTTTAATCCACCTCAAAGAGAAATAACGCGTTTTAAATACCTTATCACATCGGTAGGGTCGTTCTCAGGCGTTCTCTACCATCCTGCTCATCTCACAGCCTTCGGGACGCCATGTTGCAAAGCTTATGACGTTAGGCTTCCTCACCCCTGACCCACATTTGAATAGGAGCCAGCCCAGAGCGCAGCAGCAAAAAGAGAAAGAAAACAGCCCACTGTGGGAGGGTTTGGCCACTTGCTCAAACCAGAACCCCTGGCAGGTTTACCTGCAACATGGCAGGAGCGCAGGGAGGGGTTGTTGCTTTAAAATCCAGATTCCTGGCCATTTCCTCTAAAAGCCACGAGCTGGATGCAACAAAACAATGAATAAATTTTTTTTTTTTTTAAATCAGGAAGGACTGGAGTCCAGTTTCACCTGGAATATGATCCTACTATGTTAGAAAGGTACTCAAGAAGGAAGAAGAAACAAAATAAATTAAAGCTGCAAGCAGCGTTGAAGGCCCTCGCAGCTAAGCGCCGCTGCAGCCTCATGGCGACCGTGGGAACTCGAGCTACTCTTCCCGGTCGCCATTGAGAACGCTCACGCTACTGTCACGCGCCCATTTTCCGGAGTGCGCATTCACAGAACCTTTAACATCAGCTGCAACAGCATATATAACAACTGTAATAATGTAGGGGGCGCACTTGAGTCAAATAATAAACAACAACACCACTGTGTCCATAAGTC